ATATGTTTGTTACCGCCAATTACACGAATAATGAATATTAATTATTTATTTATTTAGTTAAAGTTAGTTAGACAACAAATATTCTCCCTTCACTAATAATCGAGCTTTTTTTAATATTAATTCTTTTTTATTCGAGAAAAAAATAGATAATCCTTATTTTCACGGTTAATTACAGTCTTATGTGTTTGTTACCTCCAATTACACGAATAATGACTATAAATTATTTATTTATTTAAAGTTAAAGTCAGTTTGGACGATAAATATTCTCCCCTTCTAATAATCGAGTTCTTAATATTAATTTTCCTTTTATTTGAGGAAAAAATGGATAATCTTTATTTTTGCGGTTAATTAAAACTTTTTGTGTGTTTATTACACCCAATTATGCGAATAATAAATATAAATTATTTATTTATTTATTTAGTTAAAGTTAATTGGACGATAAATATCCTGCCCTCTTAATAATCGAGTTCTTAATATTAATTTTTTTTTATTCGAGGAAAAATAGATAATCCTTATTTTCGCAGTTAATTAAAATTTTATGTATTTATTATCCCTAATTACGCGAATGATAAATCGTTTATTTATTTAGTTGGAGTCAGTTGGAAACTGAAAGAACGGATTACGGTTAACTTGAAGGAAATATGAACAAGCTCCGATAGAAGCGCATACCCACGCGTGAATAAATTTATTAAAAAAAATTCTAATTCCAAAGCCGATTCCTAACGGAAGATCCACGCGCGATACTTTCACTTAAGCAACATAGAAATATTTATAGAAACTTAGATCGTTAACCCAGATTCTCTCGATAAACGGCGCGGTGCAACGTATTTTTGCGTAATTCTGGTCTAACACAACATTGACAATCGTCCGCATGACAGGTCGGTGTTTTAATAACGCCCATCCGGAATGACGCAAAATCCGCGCCGTGTTAAGGTTGAGCATTTCGAGGTCCGTGGAATGTTGCGGAATGCGGATTGCGCGCGTATTGTACGAACCGACGCGTCTCGGGACGATGCACATACGCAGCGCGTGTGCACGCGGAGAAAAAGGCGTTTGTTGAAAAAGAAGAGAAAAACGAAAGGCCGAATGGAAAAGGCGAAAGGCCGCGCAACGACATTGGGCAACCTTACGGACGGCATATTGCTCCAATTTTCGCGGAACTGTAATATCAATTACGCAAACTGCGAACTCTCCGCCGGTCTTAAAACAGCCGGGCCGCGCCGGCCGCGGCGATGACCAAATCGCCGGCTCGTTTATTTTTCTGGTCTACTTGCCGCCTGCTCATCCCTCCCCCCCCCCCCCGTGTCTAAGGGGATTTGCAGCCGTATTTCGATACCCGTATCCATAAATCCGATGCGATGTAGCTGTTGTGATAAGCGTTATCCCTGTAATTTACTATGATTACGCCTAAGTGCGGTTCCCTAACCGAGAAAGGATGTTAAAATGATAGCCTGCCCTGTTGAATTATGCCAGGGATTTTTAAATAATTCGATCGAGACTAGTCTCAGTCGAGACAACGAAAGAGGTCCAAGAGACGTCGTGAAAAGAGACCTAATCGTAAAGCTCTCGCGAGAAAGATCTCTCTTTGAGTTTCTACTTTGGAGCTTGATTTGTCAGGACTTTAACTAGCAATTCGATGAGCTCCGATAAATATTACGTGTGACATGTTCTAATAGCAGGAAGACATTATATAGTTGCATCACGATTACGAAAATCACGTGTAATCTTGCGTTAGAAATCGTACAGATACCGTTGAGCCTCCCCTTTCTCTCTCCTTACAAACTCGTAATTCTCGAAACTTTCATGATAAAAATGATAATACGTGTCTCATCAAGATGTCACAATTACATCACGAAATACGGAAATCATGAGCAATCGAGTGTTACAAATTGTAAAGATGTTCGCGCGAGATGTCTCCGCATCGCGATGAGCCGGCGCGGCGTCGCCCGGCGTGACGGTGAAAAAAAATTACTGAGAAAACTCCCCGGGGGTGGTTACGTGGAATGGAATCGGGCGCGGAAGAGAAACTCGGCTGGGAGGAAAACGATTTAGGCGATTGCGACTTTTTACGAGGACGAGGACTGTCTCCGCCGCGGCGCGGCGAGGCGGGCGAATTGTTACGCGCGAAAGTTTGCGCGACTCATCGCTAATAATCGCCGAACATGGTCGGGCACCCACGAAAAATCGCAATCTAATGACGTGGTACGGCATAATGCGTACGGCGTGGTACGTAAGATTACGAAATTGATTTCTTTCTCGTGACGAGAGATGGAAACGGCGGGAAAGTGTCATTCATGAATTTAATTCGCTGTCGCCACCGGCGAGTACAAAAGTCACGGTAGTAATAGCTTTGGACAAGCTTTAAATCTTTACAAGTGTGTGTTACGACGTGACGGAGGGAGGAGAGAGAGAGAGAGAGAGAGAAAGAATGCAAAACACAGTCGAGGGGCAATATCAAATTATCATTTTCACATCACGACTGTCCCGCGATTACGCGAGGAGCTTATCGAAGAAGATCAAATGTTTACGAGTAGATTACGTGTGTACGCAGCAAAACTCGCTAATCCCTGATGAGCCACATCGGACATCGTAGCTTATTTCAACTGTTAACTCTCTTCTCGTCTCACTTTTGCTTCCGAACGATAACAAATATAAACGATCTCGATTATACGCAATTAATGGCTGTTTTCCCTTAAAAGATGTGTGAAAATGGGCGAAAGTAAATTAACGTATGCTATGTAAAAAAGAAATTAATTTAATTCAAATATGCAAAGCAAGAAGAAATCACGCCTGTCTATACAAATGTGTGTAAACAAACATATGTAAATTACATATTTTTTACGTTTGATTTTGCTTATGATTCATCCATTACTTGTTATTTTCTATTTTGTTAATAATAACGTTGTTAAAATTTTTATATCACATGTAAATGTTACATGTAACATATTACATGATACATACTAAAATGTATGAATAACAAAAATATCGATTGCCGATTATAGAATTAATTCTAGATTGATTTTTTTTTTTATTTCGTCAATTTTATTTTCTAACATACGATCCGATTTGTACTTCATGATCTACTTCGAAATAGATAGATATTAAAACATGGTAGCAATTTGTGGAGCGCAATATATAATTGGAAAATATGGTGCGCGCGTTGAATGCTGAAATTAAAGAGTTAATCCATTGACACCTATTAGTCTGTGTCGAGCATTAAAATCGTATCGTTCGGCTTCAATCTTGAGAATCTGTCGAGAAATCGTTAGAAATCAGCGTCGGTTAGTTCTGCGCTAAATCGCACGCGTCATCATTATCTTTCATTGCCGGATAACGATGATGCTTGCAATTTAGCACAGAAGAGAATCACATCTGTTCGATTCGCTTCAATGCAACGACGCATGTTTATTACCTGATCAATGCATGACGCGTGTACATTATATCTTGAAATTTATTAATATGTGCTATATATATTTTATATAAAATCAATTTATTTGATATGTGTCTATAATTATCGATACATTTATTGATTTATGACTTTATCAATTTATTTATTATCATTTATTCGTCATTTTTGAGTTTGTTCATTGTTGCTTTTTTTGTGAAATGCAATATCATATTAAGCAAATTCCATATTAAATAAATCAAATTTTAAATTAGACCTAGATTGCAATTTGTTAGATTATACTATGAATTTTTTCGAATTTTTAACATTTCATATAAAAAAAAATTGCCTGTAAACGAGTGGTTATATCTCAAGAATACAAAGGTTAAGCGAAAGCTACATCCATGATGCTTTAATTTTACACATCGCGTTCGGTGACGTTGTATTTGCGAATCATTGCCCGCTCGAAAGAGGAGGACAATGATTTATTATCCGTATAAAAAAACGAGGTGAAAGAGGAAAATGTGGAGAGAGAATGGAAGGAGAAGGACAACAAGCGGTGGAAAGAGGAGACTGGTTCACATCCGTGCGTAAAGTTGCAGCGAAAGCGCGGTACGACGACGAGATGACTTCGCGATAATGCCGACTCTCAAACGACATTTACGACGAACTTCCTGACCCATTGCGTTTCCACGCTTAAAGTTAAGTTCTCTTTGATCGACGATTAGGATACGTAGGACACGTAGGATATGTAATCGCAATGCGTAAACGTGAGCGGAAAGAGTTATCCGGGAAATCTCGTCCGATTGCAAAACCGTTGTAACTCTCGATGCACGGGTCTGTACATATGTAAGCCGAGGAAGAAGAATACGGTGAAGGATGAGGATCTGTAAAAGAAGTCTTTGTCTGTTAATTCTTTAAAAAGAATTCCGTGTCAAAGAAGATTTATTTGATTTCCCTCTGACGATATGTTTGACATAATATATATTTTTTATTTTATTAAAAAAATAATAATGTACACGCGATATCACAAATATCGTAACTATTTCCCCGAGCTTAAACTGTAAACACTCGGGAAATACATGCTTATGAATGCTTACACAATCCGTACAAGAAATTAATTTGTAGTGAACTGGACTTCAAACTGGTGTCCAATTAAACAACCTACACAAAATACAGATCGTCAGGAATATATCCGACAATAAACTGAATTAGACACTGGATTGGGCACTTGCCTTGATATGCAAGGCTATGGAAATTCTCTGAGATTTTACTAGGGCATTAACACTTTCGCTACAAAATGAAAAGTGGCTTGCTATGCGTCAGTCCGTTCTCAAGTTAAAAACGGTATAACGGCAATTCTCGCTTACGTTATACATTAATAACACTGAAAAGTATAATTAAAAAAAAAAAAAAAAAAA